AAGAACTAGAAAAAACTTGGTCCTTACGCGGACTTTTAAAACATTACAGTACCTACCTTTATAAAGTAAATTTTATTGGGGGCACCACTTGATGTCCTCTTTTGAGATTCTTGTATTTAATTTTTTAGAACGGCATCCGTTCTTTCCTGGAAGCTTTGCTAGTTTGATGTAAAATACGTGATTTTCTAAAATCAATTTCCTCATATTCAGTTTTTAATAAATGAATATTTTTGCCTAAAATTTCAGAACTTAATTAATATTAACGTTTTCAAATATGGCGAGTTTGCTATTCTGATGGAAAATTTTAAATAACCAAGTGAGTCAGATGACACTTCATTTAAAATCTCTCTCGATTTTACATATAACCAGACATTTTATTTGCTCAAATCTCTATAGTTAATGCAGAAAAACTTTATCGTATATGCAACAATTGCATACGATCAAACTAGAATGATTTTTAAATTAATTGTGTAAAACGAATGAAAATACTAAAATTCGTAACAGTGTTATTTGTTTAAAAGGGATTTAAAAATTCCTCGGAAAGATTTAAATGCGAGTATCCAATTTAAACTGACATTTAGCCGTACTGTTTAATGAAAATAAAAACAGGTATGAATTTTCTGGGTTAAACTTAATTGAAAACCGACTAGTTGTGGTCGTTCCGGTTGTAACTGCACAAAGGGTGATATTTGTTGTACACTATTGAAGATATATATGGTGCAGATGTTGTTCTTATTTTGGGACGTTTGCTAGGTCGATTTATTTTAAATTTCTCTCTTAATGGCTATAATTAGGGTCATTTAATTGTCCTACACACTATTTAGAACTCTTAAAGATCAGTTAATCTAAATCTCATCACTAAATCTTCTAATGCAGCTCGAAGTCACTGAGGTCTGCGATCGGATAAAGAGGAATCCTGTAATAATTCTCGTTCGCACTATTAAATCTCTATAAGCAAAAGTCCAGGAAAAAAGATGTACTGAAATGAAATTCAACTTGAAACTAAATTATACGGTTTCGACGAAAGGTTATTCAACGAAATTCCTTCATCTAACCTCACTTTTGATCAGTGGCGGCTCGTGACTGTCTGATGTGGTGAGGCGATGATAGAAGTTTGACAATAATCGTAATATTACTTGGTCTTACTAGTTAGTAATAATAGAAGTCTTGCCTGAATACCGGTCATTCCTGGGTCAGTGGTAGGTCCCAATAATAATAATAATAATAATAACACCCATAACACATTGAATCAACAATGTTTTTACAAGTCAAAATTTTGTTGAAAGTAGCACTTTCTTGGAGGGATTCGGGAATAGTTGATGTGTTCTTTTCTAAACGTTTTAAGCCCATGAAATTTTTAATGTGTACTTTGGAACTTTCATGTAATTTTGCACTTCGGATGAAATTCTATAAATCGTTATATCCCGGGATGTTGTGTAAATATTACGGCAGAGCCATTTATATGTTTCGTAGGTACCAAGTTGATTTAAAAAACTTGGAGTACTGACGATTCTGTCGCTTATCAATGAAATTTAAATGAATTAACGGTTTTGACTGCTCGATATTTAGCAAAATTTGCCGACGTTCTAGATCGGTTCGCCGTGAAAACGGCGTTTCAAGAAGCAACATGACGATATCGTACTCGGGATTCATTTTTCACTCACCTGTACCTATGAAAGAGACAATAACACAAAACACCAACACGTGGGTTTTTATTCACGTTCATGCTAATTACCCACGCACCCCGCAACCCTACCGTTCTGTAAAATAAATGGAAAAATGGTTTCATGAGTACGCCGAAATTGGCCGAGAAGCACCGAAGATATCGCCTCAGTTCCGAGCGAACTCATGTATAGGAGTATAGGAGCCAAGCCATGGAAATCCGTGTCTGTGATTGGGCTTCGCTGGTTCAAGTGAACCGAAGTTCTGGCCGCTTCAGTTAAAGAACTAGGGGCATAAATCGTACGGTATTCAACGAAAAATGTCAGCAGGAAGCGTAAAAAATAAAAAATCATGTACAGATTTCCCATTTCAACATATTTTTGTAACTAAAAATGCATTGAAAACTCTTTTTTAATTATAAATTAAGTCAATCTGTTCTTAAGACATATGCTGTGAGGCGCCGCCTCACTTGCCTCATCTGACGAGCCGCCACTGCTTTTGATCAATGCTCTACCAATTTTGTGCTGAGCTGTTATTATCCATTTGATAAATACTTATATACGAGTATTTTTTGCATTTAAATAATAGCACAAAAGCATTTCGTTTCTCCCCTGTACTCCAGAAACGCATTACAGCGCTGTTTTTTACTAAACCTGCACTCAAACAAGTCATTTTTTAAGAAATTACCAATGTTCGCAATTGTTTGGCACCAATATAAGTGATACTGAAACTTCAACAGAGTGGGTTAAACTTCGCTAGTTAAAAACCTGTTTAATGCAAAAATAAAAATTATTTATTTATAAACAAGAATCCAGAATTTTTCATTTCACAATCAGATGTACCTTAGGGATTTCGGCCAATTAAAGTATTCCACTTTTGTTATTCCTGTTGTTCAATAGATTTCGTTTGGGTTTTTCTGGGCGAATAGCCTGAAATTTATACAAAATGTATCCTTCTGGTTGATTCCCAGATGATGATGACTAGATCAGTCATGACGAAAAAGCTACATTACGTGATATTTATGAGTTAGTAGAAAAGTTTATGATCAACCTGTGATACATATTAGTGATTAGGAAATGTTTTAATAAGATGATGTATAACTTCTATCTTTTGTTACAGATATCAGAAAAATCTAAAAAAACTAAGAAGCATTTAATCTTTAAATTTCGTAATAGATCGGACACAAGGATACAAAATAGTTATTAATAGTAATATACATATTTATAATTCTGTATAACAGTACATACAATTGTGTACATAATTCTGAATTTGTTTCGAATTTTATAATCTTATTTTTTCAACAGTAAAGTATTAACTATGTATTGGCGACTCCAATAATGTATTATTTATGTATTGCTGGTGATTATAAAAGAATGTACATCAAGTTTTCTTTTAAATTTCGTAAATTTTGCCGCCTCGTTGTGCAGATTAATGATTGCCGATGTCCTGAACAGATGTCAATCATAACCTAACTTTTTTAAGCTTTTCCGGTGTATTTATTTAATAACGAATGCTGATTGACATTTGACACTATTTACTTCATCTTGGACAAAAATAATTTGAACTTTATTAAATGCTAAATTGCTACGTAATTCTTCTAATAATAAGGAAATCTCCATTTCCTTTGACAAAGTACCCAGACAAATAGATTTCTATAGGCAACTAAAAGAAGAAATGAATGAATTACGAATGAAGAAACGAATTTCAAGATACGTTACGTCCACGGAATTCCTACCATAGTTAAGTTAAACTAATAGCCAATTACACATCTACATTTTTTATCAAAATGTTAGAGGGCTAAACTCGAAAGTAGTTAATTTTTATAATTCCGTAAAATGTGAATATGATTTTATAGCTATTTCCGAGTCCTGGCTATCTAGCGATATTTCCAGCAATTAATTATTTCCTCCAAATTTCAATGTTTTTCGCAAGGATCGTTCTAGAGAATCTACTATCTAAACTTTTTACTTCGTGTTTACGACAGAAACAATTTGTAGTCAGATATATAAATTTTACTTCAAGGTCCTTTAGTCCATATTTGGGTGTGCCTCAGGGTTCGAACCTAGGCCCGTTACTGTTTTTGCTTTTCATTAATGATCTGGTTGATGTGATACCAAGCAATAAACTAATGTATGCGGATGATTTCAAGTTATCTGCTGAAATAAATTTCATCTATGACTGTATTTTTCTACAATCGTGTCTCAAAATCCCACACAGATGGTGTGTACAAAATCGCTCAATTACGATAAATGCAAAATTTTACCCTATTCCCGAAAACAATGAATTGTTATTAGTTATGGCTATAATATAAATGCTTACATCATTGAAAGAGTACAGTATTTCAAAGACCTGGGAGTTATATTTGACGCATTAAATTTTTTGTAACATCGGCGAAGATAAAAAACCTCAACAATGTAATTTTTTTTACATCTTCAAAAATCAATAAAGGACCTCCAGGAGACCACTAGAAAACTTTAACAATTTTCTCATAAATAACAAAAATTTAATTGTTTCTGTTAATGGAAATTCTTTCAGTGGTCCGATATTTTGAAGTTCAGTGTCTGAATGTCCAGAAATATACAGGGCATTTCAATTAAAGAACCTGCATAACAAATTATTTATAAAGTGGTTACATCTACAGATATCATAAGTTAATAAACAATTTAATACTGTTATCAATAACCAAGCTTTGGAAGTCCAGTATACTGTTTTAAACGGTAGAATTTTAAATCAATCAATATTTATTTTTACTTGTATTCCCTTAGCTTCTACCCAAAACAACCCTCATTAGCAATAGAGTCCTCGGAAGGTAATTACCAAATAATTATGTGTTTATTTACTAGTAAATAGTGTCACAAACACAAATTCTCAAACGAATTTATTTTATTTAGAGAATTTTTGGTGTTTGATTCGAGCACAAGTGGTTTCTCGATTTCCAGCTACACTTGAAATAATTTTAGTTACCTCCAATTAGCAATGAAATTTCTACAGAACCGCCAAATTATTTTTAGAAACCCATATTGCACTTGCGATATAAATTAGGAAAATTTCTGTAACATGCAAAGCCAAACGCAATCTCCATAATTTTTTTCCACCGACGGAGCACCGTTAATAACCCCGTCTCTCCCAGACACTATGCCTCCCAGAAGAATCCCACGTATTACCATCATTGTCTCTTTGTGTAGCACCGTAACGAGGCAGTGCATTAAAACTTTTCACCACAGTCGTTGTTGTCTTTGAATTTATGTTCTTTCAAGTATGTTGTGGATGGCACACATGCAACGTTAGTTCTAAAGGTGGCGCTTAGTTTATAAAATATAGAAATTAGGCTCACCCACCGGGATAATAGATAGCTTCCTTTCTGACGGTGTAATTGGCCTGGGGGATGCGGAGCTCACACGAGAATTCCTCAGGGCCATTTAAAGACGGTACCTCCGCCGTTGCTCTAATGTCGAACAGTCCGGCCCTTTCCAGCACGGTCACCTTCGAGCTGTTCACTTCGCTGAAAAGAGATAACGCGAGAGTACAGTAGCGATTTTCACTTTGATGGAAAGAGAAAATAAGGTAGTGATTTTTCCGCCGACGAAAATTAGGCATCCTTTTTAATTTCCGGTCGAGCGCCATAAATAACGCGCTTATAAATGCGCCCTTACATATTTTCAAGACAAATTTTTTTGTGCTCGTGAAAGCGGGGCGGCGGTTGAAACAGATAGAGATAGATAAGTATTGACGCCGCAAATTCGGGAATGTTGCGCGTTGGCTGTTGTGGCAAAAAAGCAAGAACACAATTACAAAATTAGAAATTCATAATATATTTTGCTGTTTGTTAATGTAATAAGCTAATAAGCATTGTTTCAACTAATACTTTGCAAAAACAAGCTACTAAATAATTCTTCTGGGGTTTACAGAGATTTAGTAAATATCATGTAACATACATGATGAAGCCACAAAATTTCCGCTGATATTATAGACAACTAAAACTAATGCTAATTTGCATAAACATTTAAACTAAAAACATATTAATTAAAATCATTAAGTAATAGGTAATTCTAATAGAAATGTGAGAATACAATATTTTTTTTTACATAAAAATTTATATTAAATCTCAAAAATTATAAAATAATAAGTAATTGATTCTACATTTCTCACTAAACATTTCTTGCTAGAAACCCATTCTATCTAAGGTAATGATTAATGAATGTTTGATTCTTCTTTTACATGCAGTTCTAATAATAATCATTTATTAGGTTAGTGTCATTGTACAAATGACCCAAAATTTTGTCATCAAACTCACATAAATAATAAATATAAAGATTAATGATACACACTTACAATAAAAATAGAAACATATCTAGACACATATCCAGTTTAGTAATTAGTCACAATTTGATAATTATAATAGAATAAGGCAAATTATGGTATAGTACTACCTTCATGTCAAATGTTACAATTTAGAATTTTTTCTTAGTTTCATGTCTATCTTTTAGACCAGCTACAAGTCGTATGGGCCACTTTTGGATAATAAAGGCTCTTTGAGCTTCAGAGAAGTGGCCCCAATGTACAATAACACATAGTGCAAAAATAATACTTTGAAAACACCAAAGTAGAATGTTTAACTGTACCCACATTACAGGGTCGCACTACATTACGTACAATGTTGCTAACTATTTGCATAAATACCGTCCATAATTTGACTGTCTAAAAAGACTCAATATAAAAGGAAAAGGGCACCATCTAGACAAGAAAATTTTGTAGCTAGAACGGATGAGACTATTGGTACCGAAACACAGGTGAATAGTTTAAAAGCGGCACCCTAATATCTATTTTTGGTACAAGTTGCGAAATGGTAGTGTTTTACGTACTAGACTTGAAGTTTGTCTAACAACCCGTAGGACGAGTTTGGACAACACGTCATTCCGCACGTATAGCAAACAAGAATTTTTCTACAATCGCAGCAAAATTTAGAAATAAACATTTCCAGTGACCCTTCTGTGTCTAAAAACGTGCCATTTCGAAATTAAAATGACAATCAAAATGTCCACTTTATATAGCGATTGTAAAAAAAAGGCTTTGATTTACGTTTGTGCCTTATCTTCGAAAACCACTTAGCAACTTATTAACTTTTAAATAAGGATTTTCCTGAAGTTCAGTGTGTAAAATGAACTCCAAACACTCGGACTTCTGCTCATCATACAAAATATTTACCGATCTCGTCAACAAAGAAAGAACAATGAAGACAAATAGGTGACCACGAGCGACATATTAATGTCATTGTTTTTTCAACAAAGAACAGCACCCAGAAAGGAGGAAATAAAATAGTAGGTAATAATGAGTAATTCTAGTGTTATTAATACTAACCACAATTTTGAAATAACTAATAAATATGTTTCATTTAAATATTTAATCCTTAAGCAACAAAATTTTAGAACTTGAAATGTTTTTACCAATTGAAAAACTTCTCTCAGTCTTAATAATTACTCTGTAGCGATACTGTACTTCCCAAGGTGAAGTGGCAATTTTTATTCATAACATAATTATAAATCGGAACCCATAAATATTGTAAAATATTGCAAAGAGCTTTCACTGCGAGTTTGCGGGTGTAAAAACTGGAAACAGTTGTAAAAAAATAATAAAATTATTATTACCGATGACTTTAATGTTGATTTTAACACAAACGGACAAAGCTTCGACTTTAATAAATGCATTTTTACTTCCCGAGCGTAAGCAAAGGAAGCACTGTAAACGAGTCCGTCGGCCGACTCTCTAATTTTGCATATTCTCGACCTATCATGACCCCTAGAGGATGAAGAAATAGGCCTCCCCTTTCCGTCTGTCTTTCCGTCTGTCCGTCTGTCTGCCGTCCCTGATTTTTATTAGACAGGTAATCTCCGAAAGTACTGCGCCGATTGTTGTCAAATTTTGTATTTATAACTAACGTGATGACGTTACTTCAAAATTGTACATAGTAAATGGGTTTTAAATTGTATCAAATAACATAGTCTTACACATCTAGTTTATGACTCCGAATTGAGATTTTACCCGAAACGTCCAGATTCTCTGAGTCACTCTAAATGCAAAGACATTTTTGTGTATAATTAAAAAAAAACACCAACAAATCTTATTAAGGTTATAATCATTCCTCTGACTAAAATTTTCAATAAACGTATAGTGTGTTTTTCCCCAGATTTTCAAAATTTCGATATTAATTCCGATTTACAAAAACTGATCCAAGTTTATTTCGTCTGAATTTTCCTCGCTCCTGAAGTACAAGTCCGAGAAATCCCGCTTTGGAAAATTATAAAATTAGATTTTGGCGACGATTTTTTTGTGAAAACTTGTATAAAGTAAAAATCAGCACCATAAATAACACCCCCGCAGTTCCTGCGACGTGGGGGCGCAAATTGCAGTAGATTGTGCGAATTGCATAAATACCGACAACGTAGATAACCAAAGGTAAAGATGGCCTCTCAGCAATAATAAGCTTTGGCTTCAAGTGTTTGTTTACACACCATAGAAACGTCTCTCGTAGAAATTTGTTTGATTTGAATGAGTTTGTCACCTCAAAACAGAGGACTAAAATTATTAATTAAACCACAGTCGAACGGAATGTTCTGAAAATTATTATTAGAATTCCCATATAGGAATTGGGCGACTCGTTTTTAAGATGATCAATAAAAAATTTGCTCTAGAGAAAAAATGAAAAAATGAAACAGCAAAGTTTGGCATCCAACTTACGACCTCCAGTCAGCATACTGACGCCTTAAGCTTGGAGATTATGTAACTAATAAAAATGGGTACAGACACCAGACAGACAAACAGACAAGCAGATGTAAACGGGAGACTACTCCTTTCGTACTCTAGGGGTCAAGAAACGTCGAAAAAACATAAAAGTGTCTATTCGTCCGATGGACTCAATTACTATACTTCCTTAACTTACGCCCAGGAAATAAAAAAGGTGATGTTAACGATACGAATAATTATAGACCAGTATCCTTGGTTCTTACACGGGGAAAAGTTTTTGATTTTTTATGAAAAAAGGAGATGAATGATTATGTTATAAAAAATAAATTTTGTTCTGAACTTCAATTTGGTTTCACAAGTCATTTATGAACCACATTGTAAATAGTATCAGTGAATATGTTAAGCATTTGAAAATAAATATCAAACAATTGCAGTCTGTTTTGTATATCCATGGCGTTGCAAAAATTAATTTATTATGGATTTGATAGAAAATGTATTGAACTAATAAAATCTTATTTTACCAACAGACTACAATGTGTAAATGTCAATCAAAATATATTGCCTAAACTACCCATATGCTGTACAAGACGTTCATCAGACAAATAAACTTATGACTAGAGGAGGAGCAGTTAAGTTAGATCACATATTACAATTTTAAATTTAAGATAAATTTATCTAAGATAAATTGCTAAAATCGCTTTGATTTAAAGTAAGTAAAGTTATTACCAGAGGGCTCTGTTTTAGGCCCGCTGTTATTCTTATGGCAAATTAATGTTTTACCACAATCAGTACCTTCTAACAGAATTCTTCTTTTTCCTGATGATACAACTGTATGCACTGCAGACTCTATTTTAAGTCAACTAAAATCAGATTGAACTGGTTGATTGAAAATTGTTGTTCATCAAAATAAAACCCAAAATATCTGTTTTTCATTAAGAGAACTAGAAGCAATTAATGATGCCATCAAGTTGCTTGGGATCCGGAAATTTCTGTCTTAATTATCAAAAGTAATTTTTTTTTATCTCACTCCACTTGTATAAAATTAATCAAAACTTACATCTCAAGATGTTGTGTTTTGGATATATGACACGATTTTGCATTGCTGATGAAGTGTTGATAAAAGCGGAGACGGAGACCAAATCATGGCTCATTTAGACGTTTTGTTTACACCTTTGCCATGGAAACCGTGCATCTAGTCGCGGTATTGGGCTGGAATTGGGTCCTGTTCCGACAGTGACCACCAGCAGTGACTCAATCGCGGATTTTAATTTTCGTTCTGTCCGAGTGAAATGGTTTGATTTTAAATAAAAATAATTAATTCGGTTGAATATTTATAAAAATCGTCCTGTGTGTCACAATGGTAAAATTTTAGTGAAAAATTTAGGGAGTGCCACCCGCGATTTATTAATAAAAAAGCGTTCATGGCAAAACAAGTTACTTTCATAGATATTTTAATGGACCTAATACGTACAATAAATATTCGTGAATGTGCGGTTGTGAAAAAAAAAATAAACTGCTTTGTTTTGTGTGTCTCCTCAGTAATAAGTTAAAACCATCACTCTGGATTAATACTGGCGTGGATGATCTTCGTCTATTAATTGGTAATAACAACCGCTTTTATATCTTCATATTTAGCTCATCAATCACCCCATCTTAGTGTGAAGTCATTCTCCTCAGTTACAAAATATTTTTAAACAAAGGAAATGTGTTATAGGTAGACTAAGATATCGAGATGATTGCAAGGCAACTTTCGTAAAATTT